GGGGGGGGGGGGGACCGCAGGGAAGTCAGGAGCCTGCCCTCACGCTCTGTGCAGGTGTCCAGCATCGGAGCAAGTGACCCAGTCTGCTGTGTTTGGGGACCCCAAATCTGGTTTCTCCTCTGTCTTAAGATACTAATGGAGATGACCTGAATGAAGCCTAAGTCTCTCATTGCCACAGTTATGAACTGAACAGAAAGAGCCTCTTGTTTCAGAAGGGAAGTGCTCGCCTTGAGACTTTCAAATCCTTCACACTTGTCTCTGGGGTCTCTGCTGGGTCTTCTGAAGATACACGTTTTGAGAGAGGTAAGTGGAAAAAGCCCTTCTGAATGTTGTCCCAACAGTTCAATTCAGTGAGTGTCAGCCACGAGGAGTCTCTGTACCTCAGATTTACTCCCTCTGAAAAATGACCAAAACCGCTATAATCTGGAAGTTAATTCTAATACACTCCCAAGGCTTTATTATACCACATTTAAGGGAGGCTTAGGTCTCATACGAACTCACCAACTTCTGAGACAGTATCAACCTCATTTATGTGCAGGGTGTTTATCTCTCAGTCAGTGATCCAGAGCACGGCAGACAATCAGGACACACGCAGTGGTGTTCAAAGCTGACGACAGTGCCTTGAAGCCCACAGTCCTCTCAAAGAAGCTGCCACTGAACCAACTCACAAGCTCTTTTTATTTTTTTTTTTTAAGATTTTTTATTGGTTTTGAGAGAGAGAGGAAGGGAGAGAGAGAGGGAGAGAAACATGGATGTGAAAGTGGAACAAGGATCAGCTGTCTCCTGCTCACCCCCTACTGGGGGGGATCAAGCCCAAAACCCAGACATGTGCCCTGACCAGGAATCAAACTGGTAACCTTTTGGTGCAGGGGACAACACTCAACCAACTGAGCCACACTGACCAGGGCTCAAAAGCTCTTTATTCTCACTTCACCTGGTTAATTTTAAGCTTCATTATCCTGCTTCTCAACCTGCTACAGATTAGAAACAGCAAATAAAAGAGGGGGTGCTCCAAGGCAAGCACGAGAAATAAGTATGGACATATTGGGAAGGAGGAAAGACTTCTTCCCTCTAACAACAAAAGAGTATAAATTTTTTGTACTTTAACATACTATTTTTAAAAACTATATAAACTATATAAAAGAGGTGCATGGCCTCAAAAACTTAATAGGCTGGGATTATTTAGGGTGGGGGCAAGGATCTCTGTGCTCCTAAATAAATCCTGAGGGTATGTATCACTCTCATAGAAGAATAGGTGATAGACCAAGAAGGTTTAAATGATAGAGAAAAACCTTATAATGCTTAATATACCCTTTGTTATGGCAAGATGTTAATAAAAAAATTTTAATCTCCAATGGCTAACCTTTAAAAAAAAGGCTATCACTAATTGGGGTAAGAGATCCAGTTATTAGACCATTTTATTAATGTGGGTCCTGGATAATACTAGATGAGTGGGGTATTAGTGTAGTTCATTGTTTCCGGGGCGTCTGGTCATTTGGCTCTCATAATATCCATGTGAGATGGTCAAGGCAGGCATCCCTCCTTAGAATTGAGAGAGAGGCTCAGAGAAGGCCCATGCCTTGCCCAAGGCCACACATCTTCAGGTGAAGGAGCTATTTGGAGAACCCAGGCCTTCTAACTGGACACATTAAAGTGCAGCAATTCACCTGCCCCAGGCTGATCCACCCCTGGTCTAACCTCTCAGGAAATCCCTCTGCTGCTCCAAGTCAAACCCTCAACTTTTCACAAAGCCTGTAAGTATGAAGCAGTCCACTGGGGCTCCAGAGGAAGCAAGATCAAGAGATACATAACCTCTGCCCTCAAGGAGTTTCTCAGCTACACTCTAGATTCTTCAGTGTGGGAGGATGGGCAGGGGAAGAACAGAAGAAAGTTTATTAGTAACTACAAGGTAGAATCTGGTAAGTGTTCTGAGACAAAAACAAGCTGGTAGGGGCCTCTGACAGATGGGCACATCCTACTTGGCCAGCAGGGAGGAAAACGGGACATTTGGTGACATCTGACTTCTCTAAGATATTCACAGGCACAGCTTAAAGTTTTCTAAAATGAACTTATAATATATTAAACCCGCCACATTTTAGAAAAGGGTCTATAAAACACTATACATGATTATTAACTCAGGAGTGCTTCATAACCCAACCATGTCTATCCAGGTGACCCCTTCTTCCCCTACCAAAAAAAAAAATATATATCTAAAAATGCAAAAACAAAAGACCTGGCAAACGGATCAAAACCACTGGAGTAGGGGAGGGCGGGAGGATTGGTAAAGGGGGTCAATTATATACTAACAGATAGAAACTGGACTTTTGGTGGTGAGCATGTTTCAGTGTATACAAACAGTGAATTATAATGCTGTACACCTGAAACTTATATAATATTATTAACCAATACTACCTCAATTAAAAAATATTGGAACAGCTTTTAATTCTTAAATTGATCTTTATTTGCCTTCTTGCAAGGATATATAGACACTGGACCCTCCACTTCAGACAGAAGTAAATTCCGTATCTTTCAAGAAGATAGTTCTCTAATGGAGGCAGGTGAGTGCTATTTTCCATCAATGCTCATGAATACTGATGTGGCAGAAAAGCCCCTTAGGGCACAACCCAGAACCAAAATGTTAATAAATGCCCTCGATTGCAAAGAATCCTGCATCAGCAGGCTCGCTAAGTTCAGTAACTGGAATTTTTAAGTACCTTTTTTTTCCTCCTCCAAGGGAGTTTTACTATTGTATTACGTTAAAATTCAGAAATTACCACAAATATACAATGCAATTAAATCTCATGCGGTAACAAGCTTCGGAGCTGTGCACACCCAGCTCACCCACTGGCACCTCCACATTTGAATAATAATTGCTGCCATTCATTTTACAAGCATTCCTCTATCTTGTGTGCCTCAAAGGGCAGTTTGCAGCAATGCAAAAATTACG